GGATTAAGGATGAATGACACAGTGATTAAAACATTGTTGTATGCCGACGACCAGTGCTTGTTGCCTCGTCGGCCCAAGAATTACAACAAATGATCACTGCTATGAATGATGCATTTGAAAGGAAAGGTATGAAAGTAAATGTGAACAAGACGAAAGTGTTGGTGATAGAAAGAAATGAGGTGATAACAGAATGTCAGGTAATGATAGGTGATGAAAAAACCCACCGTGGGAGACAGGCGTGAAGTTATGTAAGTATGTATGTACAATTTGAAAAGGGTCTGGAGTCGACCTGATGATGGAGCCGACAGACAGTCAAAGGAACTCCTCAACGGTTTATATTAACTACCTTGTGTTTGGGCTTGATTGATTTGTATTGATGAGAACTTTACACCTAGATGGAGTAGGACTATCATTGAGGGTCTGATGATGAAGAACTGTAATTGTTAAGGGAACTCATCAACGGTTTATAGTAACTACCTTGTGTTTGGGCTTGTATAATTTGTATTATATAATAATTGTAGTTAAAATTCCAAGGTAGGTACCTAATCCTATTCATCTTATGAACATAATATTATATATACCTAGTAAATAATCAAAGTTTAGGTAAGTACCTACCCTAACGAACGATACCCAATGACTGGTTTTATGTAGGTATGTAATATAAGTAAACAAACATTACGATGTTCTTAGGTACACACCTACCTAGGATATCCGAAAGTTTAGATAGGTACGTACCGAATAATAAGATAAATGTTATAGTTAGGTATCTTATAGCTACAAGATAGATAATTATGTACATACCTACCAATTACATTTAGGGTATAGGTTGTATAAGTAGTACCTATATTGCATCTATACTCACTGACCGGTCAAAGTTTACAATGAATGGGTACAATACTTATTTTATTATAGCTAAGCATCCAGTTACTAAATATGTAGAAACATTACTTTCCTTGGAAAATGAAAAAAACGCATGTACTCATTAGTACTTATATCTCAATCCATATACTGCATTTTTACGTTTCCGCCTCATAGTTAATAGTTACACGACTATTATATAGTTATTAGATAGGTACGGTACACACAAATCATACAACGGTAGCGTAGTTTAGTTGCAGCAGTGACACGAATAAACAGGTACACAGGCGCGCGTTTTTCGCTTGCCGCTGCTCCACGCCTCGGAGTGGGGCCCCTCGCACCACACCCCGCACACTCCTAGCTTTACGTCTCGCAACGGTCAAATTTAAGTTTTTCGGTACCGTTATCGCATAAAGGTTAAATACCGGTATAGCTTTAATTTCGGTACACTTATTTTATACCGGTACCGTACCGTTATACCTTAACCGCTTTCAGTCCCTGACAGAAACACTTATTAATAAATTGACATCTACAAGTACTGGTCAGAGCTTAGTTCAATGGGTCGACTCGACATTAAATCACTGCACCAATTTAGCGTTCATAATTAAAAAGTGTTGTGACAGATTTATAGAAGTTGATTATTATTATTGTTTCAGTTAATTAAAAGGAGCCACCGCCCTGTTTAATAATGCTGCGAATGTTAGGTTTTGTTGTTTCATGGAATTAGATTTTGTTTTTAATATATTTAAGTGCTATGCGAGGTGAGCTTGTATCATGTGTAATTAAAAGACCAGTGGATATGACAGGGCGGACGACCAATGCGTGTGCTGTAACGCGATTGTTCATCAGGGTGTGGACTTTAAATACTCTTATAATCACAGACACTTGCATTTTTGTGGAAACGTTTTAATTACTTCATTCGCCAATTTTCCACTATTAGTATTAGTTTTGCAGTATTTGCATTAGTAGCAGGTAGAGTAACGAATTTAAAGCAAACGACACATGAGAATGATTCATTCTTTTGATAAAGGTCAATGATAAACTGTCTGGCCAGTCTAGCAGGTTAGGTGGACGTGTAATTATATTAATAAAGAGTGCTTTTAACACCTTTCTTGGTAGCTATTTAGCTAAATGGTTGACCGATAACGGAAATTAGGGAAGCGAATGATGAAAGGCTAAATTGTCTATATACAAAAGTTTATGGTTTATGATAACCGTGTCGTGCACGATAACGGCAGGTTATCGTGTCTCGATTCGGCAAAGGTACTGCTACGATTTTCACTTATAAATAAAAGGGTAGAGAGGTTTAATTAATGGCATTTTGTGAAGGCGGGTGTGGCCCATTAGCTGTGCAAACACTGTGGCCTCACGACAACCTCTAATATGTACAGTGTACATTACTGAGCTTACTATGTTATTCTAGTATTTTATTATAAGTAACTAACTAGCTATTTTATTTCAGTAACACACTATCAATGCACTTCCTGCTACATCTGTGTCATATTTTAATTTAGCAACAAGCAGAGATTGCAAGTTGTATTATAAAAGGAATTTGGTAAATATGAAAATTAAGTAAATAGGAATACTCGTGCTTAAAGAACTTTTCCAATGATAATGTCCTTAATATATATTCCAAGGTTGATAGTATTTATAATGTAGGTTACACATAAATTGCAGTCAAATTAAATGTTACAATTTCGGTTAAAAGTACGTACGGGTGATAATGAGTGCTGTGTTACTCTTGCGCAATAACAACAGACCTTTAAACTCTTTAACAACGCATGTGTTTTAGTTCTACAGCGACCGCGAAAGTATTCCACGATTACACGACAAAAAATCATATAATTTTCTAGGAAACGCGTGTGTTTAGTGCGTGCAAATATGATATAATAGGCGGAGGTGTAAACAGAGGGCCGAGCAGGTAATGCTCTACATCGGCGGATTTATAGGCCATGAGGGAATTAGGGTCAGGACTAGTGTCCTTTACGAGTTACGACTGTGACACGCATTTGCTTTTACACATATTCATGGACATTTCTTTTATGTGCGTGCTCGGGTCGGATAAAATGTCAAGCAAAAAGAAGTATTAAGCTTAAAACGTAATTCAAGAAGTAATGTACTTAATTGTAATACGTTTTGACACAGATACGCAAATAACTAAACGCAGGTGTATCTAACTAAAACTGATTTTTGAACGTAGGTTGTTGCATTTATCTGATTTCAGAATGTATATACAGTACCAACATATTTTTTAAACGTGGTCTTACAAATCTACCGCAAAAAAAATAAAAAAAAACTTGTAAGAACAAATTGAATGTCTTGGAGGCACATACATAGATCGGTAAACTAAAGCTCGCCATTAGATTTTTCAATGTAAATGATGATTTTAACTATAATAGCTACATAATTACCATAATTACTTATATGTAGTAAGTACCTAGTTATTATAAAGCTGAAGTTTGTTTTTGGTTGAACGGGTGAATCCCTGGAACTACTTGTTCGAAATGGAAAATTATTTTTGTATTGCATGATCCCTTCATCGAGGAAGGTTATAAGCTAAGATAAAACATTACGCTGTGCTTAATATGAGACTAGCAGCAGGTGTTACAGCTGTTAGGCTAGTGGTGGCGACTTGGCGAGACACAATATATTTTTATTTGTCTTATATAGGTATGTACCAGCACTCAAGAGGTTAAGTAAGTACCGTACCGTGAATTATTTACATATTTGATAAGGATAATAATTATCATCACACGGCATGATTGTCATATTTATAGGATAACGTGGAGAGGTGATAACTACGGATATGGTCATCCTTTAATTAAATCTTTGATAAAATATGGCCATGGAATGACAAGGAAACTTTGTTAAGTATCCCAATTATTTTGACACAAAACGAACGCATTTTGGAGGGATATTATTATTATTATTATTTTAAAATTAATTGTACATCAGACGACGTAATTAAATATTTTAATGAATGTGCGTACTTCAACAAACCTTAATGAGGACAAATCAGTGAAGTGTGAATTGGCTTTCCTATAGGTATTAAATTCCTAGCGTTGCGTGATGCAAATCTCATGCAAATATTGTAACACATCTATTAAAGGGTCCATTGGCAAGGCCACAACAAGTCGGTCAACGGGTCATAGTACGAATCGTGAGGACGCACCCAGAACTCGTCGGCGCGCCCAGCGGGAGGGAGGATATGAGGACGTTACTCCTTCCCGCAATGCGGTGATGCGAACCTCCTGAGTAGGTACTTACCTACATGCCTTCAAAGAAAAGAAATAGTAGGATAACCCTAAACCGTCTACCGTCATCTCTGAACCTTAGCATAATAAGCATTCCCAGTCATTAACATAGGAACGTCATGATACGTCGCGCGCCTAATGTTTCTAGCGGACGCGGGCGTGTATGTGGCAGTTATAAAAGTCCAAAATGACTATGTATCGGGCGCAGTAGTGACGTAAGATTTATTTTGGCAGTGTTAATGCAGTAGTGATGTGAATAAAATATATAATTTTAAAGGCGCGGCGATAAACTCGGTGCCGCCACGCCGGCCGGCGACGCCGCGGCCAGTTCCGGAGCATTGCGTCACATGTGCCATCACAAGAATGTTGCTTGTTCTTTCGTATTTCTGTTTTTAACAACCTGTAGGATATATTTAACACAAAATGCTCTCATTTTCAGGATATATGATTTTTGTCCATCATAATTTGTACACTTACTAACAAAACATAATAGGTAGTTTGTAAAGAATATTAGTAAGATATCAGTCAACAATTTAAATAATACTGGGCATTGTGCAGCAAGTGACAGCAATTTTCTTAGTTATTTTCTTACTTATAATTTTTGAGTTAAATTAAATAATCACCATGTAAGAAAAGTTATTAGAAGAGGGAAATAATTTCATTGAAAGGGCTCAATGGCTGAATGGCTGAATACCTACTCTCAACAGGCAATAAGTATAATTATTTCAATTACACAATTACTTCTGCAGCTTATAAATAACACACCTAACATATTATTCAGAATTAACAAACTTACTTGGTTGTCTTACTGACTAATTATTAAAAATAATATTTGGAAAATTAATAGGTACCCACACATAATCAAAATAAGATACCATAGATACTCACTAAGTAACAAACTGACAGGCAACACTATCCGTACAAGTACTACTGCTAGATAGTACTTGGTCATGTTGATAAGTTACTGTAAACAATAGAAAAAAATTAAATAAGCATATGATCCACTAAATGTTGTAATCACTGAAATCTGTGTGTGTAACTGTGTACCAACCATTCAGGACAAATTGTTGTTTGGTTTATTTTTTGAAATATAGGAGTAAACACAGCTTAATTGAATATGGAAGAGAAGTGGTAGTAGTTGAATAATTATGTTTATTTACCAACCATAACACATTAATACACTGTAGATACAAATAACTAACTATACAAATGGAAATGTACCTTATGTATCAGATCATACAATTAATTTTATACATGTAAAACCATTTTATAATTATATATTATGAATTACTTTTAATAAAAAAAATTTAGGCAAGTATTTATTTAGTTCCTGACTATATGTCATGGAACATAGTTATTTTGTTATATAGAAACAGCTAAATTATCTCTATAAATATATATATATATATACATATATATATATAAATTAGAAACAAATAATCAAGATGTTAGTATTTTCTAGGCAATTCAAATACCAGAATTGTTTGTATAATATTAATTTATGTGCAAACAGCATGCACAAATATTTACTCCCAATTTTGCAAATAATGTTGATTAAAAAAGGACATAATTAACCACCAATATTTACTTATTTGTTTCTATTTATATTCACAGTAAATAAACACAAAAATTACATAATTCTCATAAAATTAATAAATTTCTACTCGCCGACATAAGAAAACTACGAAATATTTTTACTTACCTATTTTTGTTATTAAGAAAAAAATATCACGACATTTCATCAACACACCATCACTGCAAACGATAGTCAAAACTCGATATTATTACATTTAAATCCATGTATTCAAACATTTCACGACATCGTTATATTTCGTAAAACAAAAACACGACCACACACTCCACTACAAATCCAATTTGACATCATTTGACACTTAACACTTTGACAGCACGAAAAGAAATCAAGAAAACGTATATAATGTTGCCAGATAGCGAAATAAAAAAACTTCAAATACGTTCAGAAGGAGCTATGCTGTGCTGTATTCTTAACAATACTAAGGGTAAGGGTAACCCGTAAGGGTTAACAGGTCTATTCACATAGCCACGTAACGATGCGCGTACACTTAAAAAAGGGGCTCAAATTATAACTCCATTTTCTACACGATAAAATACACATTTCGATGCGATGCATTGTGTTCCAGTACCTTCACGTTGCATCTCGATATGAATGGGCCCTAATTATTTTTTAGAACTTGAAAATAATATACTACTTAAATTAAGAACCTCCTCCTTATTGTCTTTTGGGAAGGTAGATAATTAGATATAAAGGAAAGAGAGTTGTCATTTTGTCATTCATTTATTTAGGTACACGCTTAACGTATAATTTGTGTTCTTTAAGTTGACATGATACAGAAGAAAACCCCAGTAGGAAGGAAGACAACAAAATTTTTTTTAAAGGCGCAAGCCAGCTCTTCTTGCTATACCACGCGCACGCACCAACCTTCTACAGCGCGTGCCCCTAACGCTGGCGCTGCGGACGCTCAATGTGATGTCGGAATACGTTGACATATTTAATTGTACACTGAACGAATTCAGAAGAGCCTGTTACTGTACCTGTACCCATCTATGACTTTGTTACTATAAATTATGAATGTTGTAGTACCTAATTGTAAAATAGACTTTGTAATTTAATTCTAAATATTGGCATACACTATTGCATTAAGTATTTCCTAGTTCCTGTTTTGATAGTATGTACACAGTTTATAAATAAATAAAAAAAATTAAAAGACTAATTCTTAATATTTCTGTATTTAACTTTTCTACCGTGTATGCAAATATTTTTCATTAAGGTAATATTGTCGTAATTACCGATAATAGTGATGGATTATTGGATTACTAAACAATTTTACGGAATATTATCGGTTCATCTTGTTATTTTTAGAAAATAAGACCAATGTATTTTTTATTCTTTAATTTAAAAATTATAATTTTTTCTTACTCAGAAATAATGATTTCATTAAAAGATTTATGCCTTTTCAAAATCGATTTCAGGCGTAGACACTCACCACTAGACTGAATTTATTTTTATTGCGAATTAATGGCGTAGCCAGGTGAGTTTTCTTGTTTATTTCTCATTTTTCATAGTGTTCCATGGCTTTCAATTGTTTTGTCTAAATGTTTTTCATCGAGCAAAATATTTAATCTTCTATAAAGTCAAAATTTTTCCACCTTATCCGTTTTTATTGCACGAAAAACCAATATTACGAGTAATGAACACGTATTGGATTTGTTCCGAATTTATTCGCTAGGATCATTCATTGTCATCACTTTCACTTTTCACACGATTTGCTATAATAGTGGTTTTAGTGTGCATCGAGGCGCTGTCGCCATGGATGAGTGAGTTTCCGATATTTTCCCTTTATTTGGATGTATCATTGTGAATAATTATGACAAGGTTACTCATAACTACTCTCCAACAAAAATGTGACAATCATTGTTCATTTTTGTTCTACTTAAGTAAATTAGCCAAACCTGTGGTTTTTATGGAAGTACTGCTTTATTTTTAATAGCACCATGTCGACCCTAACGAAAATGACCCGCACGGTTAAAAAACTGGAGGTGCCCAGACCCCTGAAATCGACGACCAGTTCTGCACACAACCGCAACTCTGTGTTGGACGTCAAAATAAACTCTGGTAAGATTCATATTAGAGTATTCTATCTAGCTGTGATTAAATAAGAAAATATTCCAATTAGATTACAATATTTGTTTGTTATTGTTTGAGATTCTATCAAGATTTATTTTTATTGGTAAGTTTAATCTGCTATTTATGAATTTACTCCAAAATCTACTATGGTGGTTAATCAGTCAGTGATTAACAAACTTTTACATCCAATTAGGATGTAATGTAAAAAGTATATTAAAGTATTACAACTACTATTATGAGTATATTAACAGTAGGTATCTCTGTCTGTCTCTTCAGGGGATAAAAAGAGTAACATTGTGTTATGTTTATCTTCTGAGGTTTGTATGTAAACAACAGTAGTACAATAATAAATTATTTATTAAATAAACAAGGTAAACAATATGAATAAAATATATTTTTTGTTTATTTACATGCAACAGATGAAAGAGGTAAGTATTAATATTATAGATAACCTATGCCTCTTTCATAGGATAATAGGAAATTGGTTTCAGTAATGAACTACATTTATACCACTATAAAACAGTGTTATTGTGCTCTTTATTTACACTTGTTAGTGCCGATTTTTCTAATGCCAGATAAATTTAAACTGAATAACTTTGAATATTTGACAATTCTTCCATACTAAAAATGTCAAATGTCAATTTTAACCTACTATTCAGAAAAATCGGACATTACTGGATTTTTAAGAGGAATTAGAAGTTACTGATGTCTAAAAGAAATATTTATAGTAAGTAGTTCTAAAGTAACCATGTACAATGGGGGGCAGGTCAACCTACTCTTTTCTGGTTAAATTTTTTTATTACATGTTAACCTTAACATTGAGAAATAAAGTCGAAAATCCAATGTCAAAAATTTACACATTGGAGTAGGTTGTTGTGTCACTGTACTATATGTATACATATATCGTATATCTAACAAAATAAAGTACTAATACTATCAAAATGTACCTTGTAAATCCCAACATGTACCTATCTACCTGTTATTCTCTTTTGATGTTGGAAAATTTTTCTTTGATTGCAGTCGATGACCTCATAGTGTTGACAGAAGCGGTGGCGTACCAAATGATGCAGGGTAATTATGACCGTGCGCTTCAAAGTAATGTGGCCACCATGTACTCTAATCTGAAACTTTATGGCGCTCAGCTCGAGGCCCTTTACAAGGACTTTCTTGATAGGTTTGTAACATCTTGGTAACTAATTTATTTGAAACTGTTTAAAACCTGCAATACTATGAACTTAACAATAATATTTACCTATCATACAGACAGGCTTTGTTTAGTTTGTAACACATATAATTTACTTTCCAGATACTTTGTTGTGTTCCGCAACGGTTCGCAGGACGAACGATTGGATAAGAAAACTAGACTTCATCTTCTTGAGCTGATTGAGCTGCGCGCCAAACTCTGGCAGGGCTCCGACTACATGAGTCAATATTATAGACACCGTGGCACCCATGCTGAGGTAAATTATCTTTATTTTAGTAACTAACATTTCATCTGCGATTATGTGAATTTAATTTTGAAGCCTGAAGTTTCTGTGTAAATTGGGAAGGGTAAATTGTCGTTCTTCCCCCAACCTCTTCAGAAATATTGAAATCTTAAAGGAGTTTAAGGTGTGGCTTTTTCAGTAAACTCACAAATCTAGTTGCTTGTGCAATATTGACAGTAACTTCCGATAAACGTGCAGCTGACCTAGTTAAGTAACGACACGTATCCGCGATGAGTGCACGCTGTAACCGTTGTGTATGCGGCGCAGCCACTACTGGTGCCGACGATGGAGGGGTCGGGTTCGGGCGGCTCGGTGTCCCCTACGCTGGCTGCGCCCGCCGAGCCGCCCTCTCTTCTCGGCCCCGGCGAGATCATCAAGCCGTCGGGCAAATTCCCTAAGCCCACCAAGATCCCCGGCAAGAACTACTCCAAGGACGAAGTCGTCATTAGAAATGCCGACTCTGGAAAAGGTGACAACGTATCATTTTTTATCTTTTTCAAAAGGGGTACTTACTTGCATGTTGAATATACATCGAGTATTTGTCAATAAATCAGGGATAACTGATGCATGACTGAGGTCGATATTACGCTTATCTATTCTTAGTATGTATTACTTAGTCCTGTTTTATATGTACTTCGATAATGCATGTAGAATAGTAATAATAAGTGATATTGTAAATTACGTGATATTTATCTAAATCTTATTAATGAATCCAAAATGCTTTACTTTAATTTCTTTAGTCGATCTGTCTTGTAAAATGTTTAAATTGAGGGTGCATTTGAGTATTGTTCTTTTGGGACCTCAATGTGATGATAACGCCAAAAATGTAAGTGGGTATAGGAGAGCCCTCTGTCGGCATATCTGAAGTTGTGTTGTGGTGTTACAGTGATGGGTATCAAGGGCAGGAGGGTGCACATGATCGAGGAGCTAAGTGACACGATTATATCGTTTCAGCGAGGTATGAACGCACGGTGCGGGCTGTGACGTGCTTACGCATGGTGTGGCGGGCTCTTCTCATCTCCTCTACTTTCTCTACCAAATGATTACTACTTTTTACTATCCATTTCATTCCAGTTTAACACAAGTCACATTAACAAATCATATCCAACAGAATCTTAAAACGTTAGGCTGTAATTTTATACCTCTAGCAATCTCCTTCTAACGTGTACAATATTCATACTTAATTGTTTGGGAATGGTATCTGTGAGTGAGTTATTAATTTTTAATTTTCAAAATACCCATATTTCACCGCCTATTAATCGCAACTAGCTATGAGCTTGAAGTCCATAAAAAAGGTTTACACATATCGACTCGTGCGAGCTCGTCAATCACAGGGATACTGGTGATTTCAGTGAGTCCCGGTGCGAAGGAGCGTCTCGTCCAGATCACTGGGCCCAACGAGGAAAACGTGAAGTGAGTATATTACAGGTAGTCAGTCGTGGATTAAATAGTGTGTACCGTGCGGAGTGTACGAATGTTGCGGTTGTACAGCCACGCCAAGCACCTGATCGGCGACACCATCCGCCGCAACGCGTCGCCCGTGCGGCTGGACGGCGCGCTGGACGCGCTGCCCGGCGCCGCGCTGGCCGGCTCGCGCGCCTCGCTCGACTCCAACGGATCCGACGACGCGCCGCGCGCCCGAGAGGTATCTATCACTCGCTATGTTCTCTCGTCCGCCTTAATACTGGATGCTGAAAGATACTTGTTGTTTTTAGAAATCCCCGCACAATGCCCGGGCTCTATTGCATAGTTACTCTACGAACGATGCCGCATTGGGAGAGTATAAGTACACTGTGACTTTTGGACAACATTCCATTAGGATCACGGGCCTTAATTTGGATCTTGTAAAGGTGAGGTTTACTTTGATTGTTGTTATTGTTGTTATTCAAGCCTAATTAGCTACTTATTAGCGTTTAGACAGTTTAAGATGGAGAAGTACATGAAAGAGGTTTGATGTTTAGACTGCGAAGCTAGTGCTAGACGAGTACTTCGAGAGTGCGGGCGCGCTGGAGGCGATGGGCGCGGGGTCGGGCGACTTCTTCACTCTGTCGCAGCGCCCCGCCGCCGCGCTACTGCTGCGGGACGACGCCGCGCTCAACGGCGCCGACGATGACGTCTTCCTCAACGACGACAACGCCGGTAACACTCCCTGTTGCAATCTACCGCCTACTACAGCGCATGGATAATTACTTTGGTTTTCTAAAATTAGCTACTGAATGATGTTTCGCCTTAATACAGAAATAGAAACGTACAAGGTGCCATTTTTAAGAGAACATAAATCAGCATGATAGAGTTTTTAGTAGAATTTCCAATTTATATATTTTGGAAGCATGAATGCACTTGCAATAATGGTGTGCAGTTTCTTAAATAACAGATAAGATCTCGCTCAGTATATTTTAGATAGGATGAGACTGACTGAAGCATGTAGACTTAAGAATATATATTTCAATTCGACATTCTCATAACTTAGTTGTAAGCCCATACTTTCAGACTTCAATTGTTTACTCATTTATTCGAACATTAATGTTGTGTTGGGTCAGAGAATATTTACTAAGTATGAATATAATATGTATTTATTTTATTGACAAATATTTGTATGTATATTCAACCACATCGATCACGGTCGTGGCAGAGTACTTATTTAATCATTTATCATTTCGTAACGACCGAGTCATTAGTAATCACTATTGTCTGCCGTGCTGCTTAACCCAAACCGTTCTGTACCGAAGGAACCTCACCTCCACGAACTATACCACTCCCTCGTTTGGAAAATTGATTTAAATGTAAAATGGAAGCCTCGAGGAGGCGCGAGTATGTCGAGGGCGTGGGTGGTGCGTGGCGGTGCGGAGTGTGGAGTGTGACGTTGTGCTGCAGCGTGCGGGGGGGAGGACGCCACGCCGCGCCGCCCGCGGTTCTCGCGCGCCACCAGCATTGACAAGAAGGAAGGTAACGCCGCCACATCTACTCGCTTCTACTCACCGACACACACTACCTACTTCTGATTATGAACACTCAAACACCCCATGTGCCATTCTTTTTCTTTTGGTGCCCCTTTTTGATGAAAACAGTTATTGTGTAATTTTATTAATTTCTCGTTCATTCATACATCCACATTTAAAATACCTAATTGTATAATACAATTTAAGGATGTGTGATCTACAGTCTAAAACATTTACCTATTTTTTATATTTGGACCATGTTGTCCCATAGTTTTTTCATCTAAGCCTCCTAAGTGTTGCATGTCCATAAGTCACACCCACATACTTATTCTCTAGCCTGAAGACATTTGTGTAACATTCAATAATTATGTGTATTTCAATTCGTGCTAACTTTTTCATGTACCTTTATTGTCATTCCCATGTCGCTCTATAAAATATCTAAAATGCAGAAGTCAGTCCAAAGTGGTCACGACTAATATTATCTATTTATATAAACAATCTAAATAATTACTACTAATCGATCGTAGTACATAATGCATTTGAGTGTGCTTTGAGTGCGTCAGCTTGCATCAGTTTGAAAAATAATGTGCACGTGTCTATGCATTTTTGTGCTTTGGTAAAACGAGATCGGGAACAAATTCTTACAAGATCAGTGATCGATAGCGATTTTTCCCACTAACTTAAACGATAGGTGCTTCTTAAACTCGTGTGACCGCTACAGCGAGACCAGCGAGATAGCGCTCGGTGTGGTTGCAGGCGCGGCGAGCGGGGCGCGGCAGACGTACTCGTACGAGACGCTGGTCCAGTACGCGGACTCGCCGCTGAGCAAGCTGCCGCCGAGCGGGCTGGCCGCGTTCCCGGCCGAGCTGGCGCGCAAGGTAACGCTGGGCGGCCGGCGGCCCGCGCCGCCCGCGCCGCGCGTGCTCACGCCCTTCCGCGTGTGGGCGCCGCTGCACCACCCCAACTACCTGGCCGCGCTGCTCTGCCGCAACTTCTACTAACCGGCCGCCGCCGCCCCTCCCCCGACCCTTGCACGTCTCGCGGCTTGCTTTGTTTCACCCGCCTCTCTAACCTGCATGATGGTTCGGTGCATATTACCCTTTTAAGTCATTCTATCGAATCTCGAGGTACCTCCTTTTTAGTTAGGTTTGTCGAAATTCTTAGTACCGCGCGTCTCTCTAGCCGTCTCCGGGCTCTAGACCCGGCCCCCCATTAGCTGATTAAGCGTAAACGCTAGGTATAAATTATAAGCGATTCTTTAATTAGGAAATATTGATCTCATTATCTAAGTTGTAAGTTAATTGATAAGACTGACGCTAGTATTACGTGGGAGTGGCCCCTGACAGAGTTCGGAGGTGGCGGTAAATAATGTGCCGCTAACATTTCGAATGCCACGATTAACTCTCTGTAGACTACTCGACCGTATGCCAACTTAAAGACTGATTAAGAATCTCACCATTATGACACAGGAAAATCTTTATCGTTTTAGAAAAAAAATATTTTTCATTATTGAATTAATGAAAGAATTTTTTAGTACTAGTATATAAAGGTGTTTATTGACAGAATAATATTGATAAATCTTTTACGCAACGTTATTTACATGAGTAAACAGTTTTGAAAGCTTTATTATGTGTTTATTAACAATGCTACTAAAATTTGTGATGTCTCTTTGTTCATGCTGCTCGGACAGAATGGGTATTCGAGAGGGGATCGCTACAGGTAGAAAGTGTTCGCCTATTAACTTGAGTGAAGTTCTAAATTGTCACTTGATTTTGTTGTGTTCATTTATTGTTATTGTTTTTAATTTGAGTAAGCATTAAAATTATCAGTGTTATTTCAATTGATTGTCAATTTATGATTTTTAAATATAATAATTTCAAAATATCTCGTCTTTTGCCTGTTCTCACGCTTACCTCCTAACTAACTAATCCTGCTATATCTTTCTGCGGTGATCGGGATTTCCTCGTAAATAACTCACAGCGCCGGCAGGTCGGTCACAGTGACTAACACACACTCGCACCATGTCAGCTAACTCGGTGGGCGGCTCGGAGCATAAATGTACCAGTCCGATGTGTCCGACAGAGTTGCCTGGACTTCGACAGCGCCAGCTACTTGAAGAAGGTCCGCGCGGCGGGCGGCACGACGGTGGCGGCGGTAGACGCGCCCGACTCGCCTGAGCCCGAGTAACTTGCGCCCGGACGTTCGCTCGCCGCACCCACACTGCACACTACTACAAAATTGTTTAACGTAACGATGTATAGCTAACGTAGGCACGACTGACACGGTCCGCACGGCGAGCGAACTACTAGCACTTCCCGGCAGCTTGTGACCGGAGGCCGCTACGGACGAGCGCCGGCTTCTATTGAGGCGACGGCACGGGCCGTCCGATGTGTCCGTCCTTACGACTCTTTTATTTTAGCGAGCTTCACTCTTATCTAATTTAGCAGACTTATCTTAAAAGTATTAGCACACCAAAATATTTATTTTTATAGTGGTGGGTATACCGTACCTCATTTTTGTGAATATTTATTACATAAATTAGCTGTGGATCTGACTACATACGAATAATGTGATAAAAAGATAAAAATGCATGTAAAAGGCAAATTCTATGACTTGCACAAATCCACAGTCTTACGTTGATCTCCCATCAATGTTTTTTTTATTTCCAACGTAAAATATAACATTCTGAACAATACATTTTGGTAATGTCCACTTCGTCTTATAAACAACATTGATATTTTCATTATTTTGTTGTATATATTGACTCTGTTAGTTTCGGATATCATAGAGTGATTCCATTTATTATTATAAGAAGAATGCATGCATTTCTTTCGTGTGTTTGTATACTCATTTTCAGACTTTCTAGTGTCTAGTCCTGACGAGTAGATGTCGATTCTCACTATATCGTAAGCTTTTATATTTCCGAGGAAGCCTGCCAATCAATATATAATTATTAAAGGAATTAGGTAGTATGGTTTTTCTTTATATTATTTAAAATATTGTTGTATTATTTTTGTTGTACTATTAGAGCTTTTAAATAAACTTGCTGTGCACTAAACCAAATAATTATTGTAGTGAGTCCTAAAATATATTACACTAACGTTATTTTCGAATAAATGGTTGCCAGGCTTTCTTATTCTAAACGGTTTTAGTAAACGTGACTTGAATATTAGCGATCCGAAATATGATATCGCAGTGATATAGGATTTTATTTCCATGTTGCAAAATTTAAAGTTTATTTTGTCGGCGGATCCGACATAAAACAATTAGGTCATCACTCGTTCACCTTTTAAGTAAACTGAAAGTATTATAAAATTATTCTCGTTGCAGGTATTACTTAAAAGACTATAAATATGTTATTTAATTTTATTTACTAGAGGCTAGCGAGTGATGCTTCACAATAACTTATCTGCAGATTAAAAAATCTTTAAACGTAATTGGTGCTTACTCCTTGGGGAAGTATTATCGTTGAATTTGTAATTAAAGATTTATGTTTACACATTTGTTTTTATATCATAGACGTATGGCTATAATTGTGAAAATTGATATACTAAATTTTCTAATATAGAAGCGTTTTATTTCTTAACCTAATTTGCATATTTTATTCATAATTCTTTTTTCACAAAACAAAATTACTTCAGTATCAAACGCGTCAAATGAACACTGAATTTCAAATAAAACTTGTGTACTGTAGGTAACCAATTCTATATTTACAATTAACACGATAAATAATACACTTGATTTAAATATAACAACACAGCGAATGCCGTCGCAAATGCAAAATAATTTAAATTAATTCATAAGATAAAAATATTTTATCGAGTTCCTAGTTGCAATGTTCGATACACAAGACTTGAAATGGATTAATATGATTGAACATGATACCATAATACGTTTAGTACCTAACTGTACGTATAAACTAGACAGAGATTCCATCCACTCAAGCTCGTACCGACAGGTGTTCATCACACTGATGAGACATGAATATATGTACAACTACACATTTTCTATCAAGGAGTGGATATTTAGATGACGCGCATTGTTTTATAACTATGACTGCGGTCATGCAGAGATTCCTCTACATTATTGGACTCTGTCCAACATACGTACAAACTTCCATAATGGAATGCATATTTTCAATCTATGGTAAAAGCACAAAATGCAGGGATTAGTACTAGCAAGCAGACCAGAACAATGGATTCTTTGATTACACGATTGATCAATGGGGACTACCGTATTTTTGCTCAACAGATGGCCCTAGTGTGCAGCTCTGGTTCTTCGTCCGATAGAGAGTTGGCTAGTGTCACCATTGGACGTTCAATATTTGACAGTTGCTGTGATAGGACAACATAAACCTTCCTACATTAGCACCATATGGTGAGCAATACAACGTTAGCCCCCACCAACTCAAAAGCTCGCTATCAAACGTATTTCAAAACTAATAAACTATAATTTTACTGAAAATTATTATCAAATACAAACTGCCATAATTCGGCAGTTAAGATAGTGGCAAATTGATCGATGAACACTTTATTCTTAAGACTATAATACAAGGATGTAAAATTCTATAGGATTTGAGCTCTAAGAAACGTTGTGCCATATTACTATAACAAAAAAACTAAATAAACCAAATTACCCTAGGAATGTTATATTCCATGTACCTAACTAATTCCTAGTTCCAGGCATAGACACCACTGTTCAGCGTCGCCTGATTGGTTATTGCTATTTGGAAGCTTATTGACGCGATACTAAAAGTAGCGTGTCTAGCTGGCTTCTACTTATTGTTTGTTAATATCAACCAAACTTAGGCCTAGGTTTATGCTGTAAGCATTTCTTCACAAATAACTTCTACTAGCTTCTCTTACATTAATATTATACCCCAGACATTGTTCTTAAACATTTTAAATGCGAAGAGAAATATTTATAAATAAAGAACAAATCGCATTAAATATCGAGGTAAAATGGTAAATACTTATTAAATGCGCATTACGTGGAAAGACTATTATTACGTCCAGCGATAGCGCGGTGTGATTTATATTCTTTCAGCTAATTTGTCAGTAATATTAGCAGAACGTAATCTTGCGTGTTGCATTATGTCAGCAGATAGATCATCTACGTTAGTGTAGCGACATTTCTGGAAGTTAAATAGGTCCGATATAAAACCTACAATTTCTGACTGAAAGGACTCGCAAACATCGCGAAGACGTTCGTTAGGGCCCAAGAACCCCCATACGAGGACTGGCAGCAAATGCTCTGATATAGAATAAAAATGTGCCATGAAACCATCGGGGAACTGGAGGTAGCGCCGCTTTGCCTTTATAACTGACCACACCGCCGTTGTCAACGCCTGAAATAATAAGTTATCATTAGTAGTGTCACTTGGATTTGACTACATATTTAGTGAAATAAGTAACAAAGTACATACACTCTCTTTGAATCCGTCTGATAACCATCGATTGCGAACTACAGCAAGGACTGAGGAAGGTGGTGACGCGAGATCTTCAAATGCATCTAATAGTATGTAGTCCAACACCACGTCATAGAATGTTAGGGCCTGCAACAAAAACAAAAACTTAAATTAGTCCGCCGTCTGTCAACTTAAAGATTTTTTCAGTGGAAGCTCGTGGGCAAGCACAGAAATATTTATGCCATCACAAATACCAACCTTAACACCTTTAGTCGTAAGTTCAGTTTCTATTGTTATCCAATTGGCTGCATCTGTCGCCCAAGACACCATTTCTTCGTAAGCCACCAGAAATTCCTTTGGTTCCTGGGGAAGTGGTACATATTTAAAAAAAAACCAACAAGTCCACATATTTGAGGTGGTTATATCTATCTGCTTATAACTTATGCAGTAAACAAACAAAACATCTTATAATTCATCATGTTCATATTAAATGTGTGTGCACAGCACGGGATTATGTACTTTCTGTTCATATTTTTAATGTTGAAATTTGCTCGGTCCCTTGGACGACTTAACGGGTTACTGGAGCTCCGGCTCCAATCAGGAATAGGAATGTTTTTAAATGGTTTCATTTAATTTTCTGCGTTTGTAAGTATGTGTTTCAAACCTTGTCAGCGAAGAGAAGTAGATCAGTGAGCACTTGTCTGCCGGCGTCGACGAACCAGGCCCAGATAGCTGCGTCCTTGAACACCTGCGTGAAGGCCTGGCGCAGACAGTGCAACTTGCACAGGAACTCCGAGTCTGTACTGCACTGCACCACCTCTGTGCGTAGCGTCCTGTAATGTTTTGTACGAAATATTTAGGTCATGCTGGATTAACTTTTTAACAAACCATAGGCGGTGCAGTTTGTAGTCTGACAATATAGGCCCTACTGCCGCACTTCTGACTATAAACAATTTTTTTTTATTACTCAGGAGTACTATAGAACTATAAACTATACTATTAAAGTAATCAAAATAATTGTGTATTTAAATAGTATTAATTACTGAATCACTTGTAGCATAATCTGAAATAGCAGCTGATAATCAAACGTTTTGCCCTATGGAGACTAAGCAGAAACCAAGAAAACGCCACCTACAGTCAGTATGATCCTCACAGACATCATTTGCTTCCAACACTTTCATGCATCTACACATGTTTACCTGTAAGGAATGCCGACTTCCAATTGTTTTACAGCTGCCTGGTATAATTCCAAGTTTTCTAATTCTGGTAATGCTTCTGTTAAATCATCAAAGTCTCGTAGATCAGCAACCTGCAAATCAAAATTGCTTTTGTATCGCCCGCCATTTTAGGCCACTGAGTGGCTGCATGGGTTCAATATTCAAGGGAAATTTTAGAAAGTCTCTAAAAATAGGAATAGCTTAGATATTTTTACTAGATTTTTTTACGCAGTTATAGTTACGTTATTGATTTTGAGTAGATCTCTTGAATAGATTATAATAACATAACATCACGCCTTTTATCTCGGAAGGGGTACGCAGAGGTGCACATTACGGCACTTAATGTCACTGTACAATGTAACACCCAGTTTTCGCTATTTATATTACGAGTCCCATGTAATAGAGGGTGACCCTATTGCCATATACCGGACACAATTCCAGAATCCGTGCTACTACTGAGATTTTTTTTCAAAGCCAAATAATACTGTAGATTTTTATACAGTTAATTCGGTAGGATAAAAACCCAGTAATACTTTGCCCGACCCGGAAATCGAACCCGAGACCCATGGCCCAGCAGTTGCACTTACGGCCACTCGGCCATCGAGGCAGACAATCATTATCAGTAGATCGTAATACTACACTAGGTATAAAGTAAGGTGTACCTGGTCTTCTGCGGAGGCGAAGGATTCTGCGCTAGAGTGATGTTCTCTCCGCGTGTGTGAGGAGGCTGTCTGTGTGGAGAGTAGTCGCGAGCGGCGCGCCGGCGTCACGTCGTCGCCCGCGCCGCCGCCACTCTCCGACCTGAACAACACCGACCGCTGGTCCAGGAACAACAGCTCGCACCGTTCCTGTAACCATACACATACGAATCGATTAGCACCACCTATACTCGGGACTTGATATACTTGGAAATCCTATTAAAATACCAATTTAATAGAATACTTTTACAAAAATTAATGACAAATGACAATATGTACCTGTAAAAGATAAGCGTCTTGAAGCAAGTCCTGTATTTCCCTGCAGAACTCTGCCTCCTCTGGCGAGGTGAGAGCCAATGTGCCCGATACTCCTCCTCGTGCCCCTAACGAAAACGCGGCCAGCGCGTCCTCCCAGTAGTTTATACTTGTTTCTAATGCCTCCATACCTGAAATGATTAAAAAAACATTTTTAACATAACATAACATCACGCCTTTTTATCCCCGAAGGGGGTAGGCAGAGGTGCACATTACGGCGCCACTGTACAATGTAACACCCACTTTTCACTATTTATGGTATGAGTCCAATGTAATAGGGGGTGAGCGTATTGCCATATACCGGGCCCATTTCCAGACTCCGTACTACTACTAAAATTTTTAAAAACCCAGCAATACTTTGTCCGACCCGATAATCGTACCCGAGACCCCTTGCCCGACAGTCGCACTTGCGCATTTTTAACAGACTTCAAAAATAATAAGAAAGTTTGACCTGTATGTGTGTTTTTGCGTAATTATCTCGCAATTGATTCAACCGATTTTGATACGGTTTTCAGAAGAGTGTTTGTTACACGTAGGTTTTGGTATAATAATTAACAAACATTAAATAAAGAGGGGGCTGAAGTCTGTTTTTTAAACGTAGTTTATAAAAGGTTCATTTACTCTTTAAATATAGGTTCCTACCCATTCTTCACGCCGTTTAGGAAGGAATGAAAGAAACTTCGGAAGTAATAAATAATAATATAATTCAATAATTATTGATGTTCTATCACATACTAAAAATAATAATTATTTACAAGCTTTATTTCAAAGGTGGGGCTGAGCAGTATGACTATAAAATGTGTCAAAAAACTACATGTACTTAAATATACCTATTTAAAATAAAATAATAGAACGAGTTGCACTAATCCCTAACACAGGACAATCCCTGAATAACAATTCAGACTACAATCAGTTCATGTCTTACAGCAAAATATCTCCTATCACTATTTACATTAATATTGCAAGTGTGTACTAAAAGTAGTAACATAGTATTAGAATTGCCATAAAAATATGTTATAAATATCCTTTAAACCTCTTTAAAGTTATTTTTTCCATGATATGGCACATCATGTCGTGCGTTTTAATTCCACTCATATAATTTTTGACATTATTTAATGTCTGTAGAAAACATTAGCTTGTACTGGATGTAATTGTTGCAGTGCATCTTGTACTCCACTGTTCAGATCCTGTACTGTCCCAGCTATGGCTGTGAGAGCATCAGCTATCCGTTCCTCTAACAAGCCCCGTCTTTCCTCCTGACTCTTCATGATATTAGCCATAGACTCTAGTGCATCTGCTATCCTCTCTTCAGCCGCTAATCTCCTTTCTTCAAAGTCTATCGCCCACTTTGGTGGTGGTGACACTCTACTGGGAATATCATCTGAAATAATTACATTCGTTATCTTTATTAAAATCTTCTGGCATGTCAGAACTACTTAGATTGCAGTGGTAATTTTTTTAAGTAAAAGATAACTTTTTTTATAGGAAAAAATATTACCTATTGGAGATTCAGGTCCAACTGATTGTCCAAGTTTTGAAGTGCTTGGTGTATGTTTTAATTTAAGATTTTCTAAAGGTTCAGAATCCGAATCGCCTGTGAAGTTATCATTCTGACTAGATGAGGACACGGCAGTGGAAACAGAGCCTTTGCCACTTAGTTCTAAAACTCTGACTTCTAGGTCATTGAGTGGGATAAATCTGTTTGAACCTCCTTCAGACCCTGACCGAAACCTCCTTGCATTTGCTGCTTTTTTTCTGCACTTGTGTCTCCACTCAAACCAGTACTGGAATGACAAATAATAATAGATAGTACAGATTGCTTAATATTTATAAATTAAATATGAACTTATTAACTGTTCCAACATAAATTCTAATACATATAATGTTGTGTGGAGGTACCTTTTTCCATCCATCAGGCGTCTTCAATGCCCCTGACTGTACTGCGTTAAGTTGTTTAGCTAAAATTGCCCACTTCTGTCGAGTTTTTTGATGAGAGACCGGCGCACCCGGCATTAATCCTTTAGACATATATTTGTTTTCCTCCAAGAAATTCATTAAAATCTCTAATTGTTGTCTCAGAATACGCCGAGGCGGAGCCATCTAAAAATAAAAGGTAAATAAATAAAGAAGACTTTTTTTACTTAGTAGTTGATTGTAATTAATATTTAAACAATTACTTAGTGTAGAGATAACAGAATACATGCTCTTACTTACCTTTATTTACTTTTAAATCAATAAATAAACTAATCAAATATTAGAAGTTAGTTTGTTTTGATTCAAGAAAAAATTATAAACGCGCGCTACATAGTACATTTGACATAACCAATCTCCTTCTCAAACTCAGTAATAACAATTACAGAGCGATATGTAATGGCGACCCGTCCCCATGATTGCAATGTTTATGTTAGTGTAGTGACGACACATCGTGGCTGCTGACTTTAATCGTTTTAGTAAAAAGTTTTTTATTTTAATAAAATATAAACTATGTTAAAAATACCAAAACAGTACATAATAAAACAGTTGGGTAAAAAGTGTTTGTAGCGACTGAAACTTTCCATTATTTAGTAAGACGACGACGAATCAAAACAAAAACGTCTAGTCTATGCTACACGCATTAGTGTGATAAAAACTCAATAGATGGGGCTATTTCACGAAATTTTAAAACAATTATTAGATTGAAAAAAAGTTTCGTAACAATTTCATAAAAAATATTTTATTTAAAGAAAATGTGTTTCTGTTAAAAAATTAAACTATTAAATTTAAATGCACGTTGTGGATTGCACGCCATCTTGTATCGAGTAGCGGAATCTAAACAAACTGTAATAGTGTAGCGTGATGCTTTCCCGCTCCGTGACGGAAAATCCCGTTGTTATGAAAGTCCATTATAAGCATTACTAGACGAGTTAACTACATTGATAAATAAATAAGTAGTAAGGCACTTAAGATATATTTGGGTGTATTTTTAATTGAAGATATTTTACATTGTGTAGGTGGCTGCTGATCTTGCTTTGGAATTCTATACATTAATCCATGGTATGCCGGAACGTAGACATACGCGAGACTGTGTTTACTATTGTGTCTCACATGCCGACAGATAAAAGGTTTAACTTGATATTCATACATAGCGATAGGTATAATGAAAATATTAACACAATGAGTAATTTTTGTTATTGGAAAGATAAAGATAATTTAAAGTATTTAATATATCTACCGATACCAAAATAATTCAATAACATTTAACTTTAATTATAGCAAGGTATGCGATGGTTAAATCTGAGGCCGTGGTTTTGTCCTAAAGCAGTCAAGTGTCAGCTTACCGGCTTACGACCGACACACTAATTAATTTACCCAGCATTTCACTTAGTGAATTTGCAAGTAAACATTATTATTAATTGAGCTTCCATTGAGGTAAGACGCTTAATTGGACCTCCGGTAATTTCACGCACACGACAAAACACAACGCAAGCGTTGTTTCACGTCAGTTTTCTGTGAGGCCGTGGTATCACTCCGGTCGAGCCGGCCCATTTGTGCCGCAGCATGGCTTGGCACACTTACGCCCATTCGGGCTTGTTGGCCCGGATGGTCGGTATAACGCAGTCAATAATTTTAAAATTAAAAATAAACTTCGTAACTCAAATAAAACATGCCGTAGCGCTTCGTAGCAATCACAGACTAATTTGATAGCCATATAAGTAGACATACCATTTATGGAAAAGTAGTTTTTTACAACAATGTATTTGGTATGTAATGGCAAGGCTATGAAACTACATTAACTTCAATTGCTTTTTTTCTAAGATTACCTACAATAAGTAAGTGCCTATGTAAGTAACTTGTTTTTTATCTGTACGAAGATTTTCCATAGTCACATTAAGTCACATGGACTTGTGAATTCATAACGTCCAAACAGGTTTTGAGAAGTTCATGTACTTAAGTAGGTAGGTACAAGATGAATGATGAATTTCTTCTCAGAGTAGTCAGTTAGGAAATGTCGACCTCATCGTTCGCTTGATAAAATTGACGTGTAAAAGTGCTGCCTTGTAGCCTATTTGCAGAAATAAATTCACTTGTTTCACTTGTTTCATTTGTTTCACTTGTTTCACTTGTTTCACTTGTTTCACTTGTTTCACTTGAACAAACTATTTATACTACTAGTACAACTAAGCAAATATTATTCCAGTAGTACGTATAGAATTTATTTTCCCATATACGTTTAAATATTTACCTAAGGGTTATTATTCACTATCTAGCTAGGTGCTTGGCGATATAGACACCTAATGATAGGTTAGGTACTAATTTAATGCGACATGATTCCTAGACCTAGGTAGCAAAGTACCTAAAGGAACCAAGCAAAGTTAGACGTGTGAATGCGACTAGTGCAGGACAAGTTCGTCTGTTTGAATACGATAAACACTGAAACTTTCATTTATGCTTGAAAAAGCCTTGTTAGCTTAAAATTGTTAAACATTTTATAGCAGATATATTTTGCTATAAAAACATCGTTGTAAAAATATTCCTATTTATAAAACTGATTACTTGGAATAGACTAAACTGATGTGCAATATTTAATTGATAATAGGTAACTAATAACAAAATTACGTTGTTTATGTATAATGTGTAGTACGAACCTACTGAATATTTATGAAAATTACATCGTAATAATGTTTAACAATAATCAGCAATCAGTACAGACTGAAAACCAATTCTATTTCCGTAATAATGAAATCATAACAGGGACAAACCTGTCAGACTGACTGGCAGGTTTCACATAAAAAATGTAAGCCGATTTTCTGCGAAACCTTAGCAGGTCAGGTAAAATTGTTCTATATGATAATTTAATTGGTATAGCATATATTATAAGGCATTCATAACTTATAAGTGGGTCATACACTTGAAGATAGTTTATAGGCAAAGAAAGTATTTGTAAACGCACAACTTCACGACACAGGGATCAACCGTTCCTTACTTTTTCTCCATAGAGGGAGACAATTTAAAACAAGCACTAGATGCATTAAAGGACAATTATATTTTGACAATTCAAATAAGCGTCCTTTGTAGGAAAATAGAAATAATAACATTCATTACAGAGGATTAATCATGGTTATCATCATAGGATGTCCACAGCTATACGTAAGTCTCGGCAAAAAGCGTAGTAGATACATACTTAACATAATTCTGTTGCAAAGAATATTTGACGGTTTAATACGAGATTTTAGTCACAATGTTGCAAACTTCTGCGTCATCAACTAGGGCAAAGGGCATTCTTGGTGATCCACGTAACGCGGAAACTGTTAAACTCCAGGCACAAAGATATTGGTATGAGTAACATTGGACGTGGAGTGGACCTTGAAAATATAAACCATCTACGACATAAAATATAAATAGATTTTCCTTCGTAGGAATATTTTTTACGCTACAAAGGCTTTAAGTCGTACAGTTGTAGTAAAAAACCATTCAAATTAAAATGAAACGGAAACCACCGCCCACTTGTCAAACATTGTATTTACGAATTTAAATTCTTATATGATTCCTCGAGAGTTGGCGCCAACGGGCCACCTACTTAGTTTTTATAAGCTAAAGTTTGTTAATATCGACAATAAAAAATAAAATGAGGTGATCTGCGGATATTTAAAATGTTCCTTTTTAAGAAAACTTAATTGCAGTAATTCCAAGATTTGGTATTTATGTCATACCTACAATATGCAAATAATTGTGTGTGGCCAAAATGTTTACGCTAAACGCATCATGAATAATGCACATAATCAACCTTTTGTACAACCTTTATTGACACATTAATTGAAATAATATAGTTCAGTACCAAATTTTGGCTGAGATGAAGAAATCAGAAGTTTTTGACAAGTTTGGAATAGAATAATTAATGATGTATTATTATTATTAGTAAGTTATGAATATAGAATAAGGGTTTCAAGTGCACCGGTGTGGTAGGTGCCGGCACGGCCGGTGCAGCAGCACCGCTCGCTGGCGCGGCGGTCGCGGGGTGCGAGCGTCATTCGAGCATGGTCTCTGCGGCCGGCCTCCGCCCGCCAGTCCCGCCAGTCTACCCGTGACTCCGCACTGCGGCGGTGTGCTATCGCTAAGCTCCGTACGACCCCCGTGCTACATCTAACCAAACCGTTCTTTTTATAATCGTCAACTGCAAAAAATCTGCGGATTCATATCCAAGATTGACTGCAAAAGTGATTGATACATTGTTATAGTGTTGTGTATAAAAAACCGCGAATTCTGTGAGTTTTCTTAAAGGCTTCGCCGCTCGTCCTGGCTATATTGACGCCGATTTTATCGTTCTGTCAGGTAAGACATGAGTTTAATTAGTTGGGATTTAAATAAAGTTGTTACATAAAATAACAGTGTTTTTCTAATACCTAGGTAATTCTAGAAAAAAGTAACATTTCTTTTCATTATCTTATATTTTATTTTATGTTTCTACATAGATAATTGTTTAATTAGCGTTTGATTTAGATTATGATTAGCGTTAAATTGCAATTTTCGTTGATACCTGTATGTCTATCCTATTTTATTTTCTACCTGCTGCCTATGTTTTATTTTATCCAAACCAGTAAGGTTACTCATCTGATCGATTATAAAAATATTATATTTCCCTGGAATTTCGAAGCCTGTGATTTCGAAATTGAACACTTTGATATGAATCGAGGAACACTATAGGAGGTCTCAAGCGCTCTAAGCATTCTCTGGAACGTGAGCACTCAGAAGAGAATCTCCTGACACGTTTCTTATAAACCGGTTCACTCGGATACAAGACTTATGCAATCGTTACTCTAATCGAATGAACAATGTCCGAAATATTTTTGTAACGTATCGTCGGAATTTTGGGGTTAGTCACGACAATGAAAGTAATGTAAAAATTGTAAAATTATTTTCATATCGACTACGAATAGTAGGAATATTTATATTTACAAAGCTTAGAAGACACAAAACTAACTCATTTAAATAGAAACGATATTGCATTGTTATCTTACGAATGTCATCTAATTAAAACAGACACGGTGTAAGTTGATGAATTAAAATAACAATATGAAATTATGCAGGAATGCTATTCAACTATAATGAGTGTGTTTTAAAATGTGATTAACATAAATCGATCTAGCTGCTTCCACGCCAATGATGACAAGTCATGCAGCATACCTGTGATGTGCATAATTACGTTTGTTTAGATTAATTACTACAATACGTTATTGTTAGAAAGATAGGAATTGATCTCTACGGACATCGCCATATTTGCACCTTTCGTTTTACCTTCAATGCGTTTACTGACGTTATCATACTGCAGAATCGCGCAAACATCTGCTAGGGGCAGAGGACACTGGAGGTGTATTGTACGTTTGTTATTCGACATCGTTAGTTGCAGCTGCGGTTCCACCGTTCCACGTGTAAACTGTC